GTCATTTCGATTTTAAGATTTTGAAATTTTGAGATTAAGGACAATTGAGAACACTAAGTAATTGTAAGTTCATATGGGCTTGAGGGCTTAGGGTTTAGGATTCAGGATTTGAGGTTTAGGGTTGTAAGTCTAGGCTGAAGAGGAAACCATGGGCTTCAGGGTTGAGCTATAGAAACCTGAAAAATTAGAAGCATCATCCGGTTTGAGTCATTGCATGACTCTAGAATACTATATGGGTGGTTGTCAAAATTATGGTCCCTTTTCGGGTACCCTAAATATTAGGTGCCGTATTATAATAGGGATCCAAGAAGGGACCGTAATTTTGACAACCACCCATATGTCCCTGCTGAAAGTCAGTAGGTGCCTACAGTACCGGCTCCAGAGCCAGAGTAGTCGAATCCGGTGGGTTTCCGGTCCTCTACATGCGCAAGTGTGTGTAGGGCTTGGGGTTAGCCCTAAACCCTGAACCCTAAGCCCTAAACCCTAAGCCCTGAACCATAAACCGCAACCTCTAAACCCTGATGCAAAACCCTGCGAATTCTGCCTAGTGTGCCGCAGGCCTTCTTTCAAGAGCCGGCGCCCGAAGCGGAAGAAGAAGAAGCAGAAGAAGGCAATGCAGAAACTTTCGCATCTCAAACCCTGCACAAAACCCTAATGTTAATATGGCTAGTTTAGGGTTCAGGGTTTAGGGTGTGGGGTTTAGGGCTTACAAGTTTAGAGTTGGGCATTCCTTACGAGTCAGTGCCTCTTCCTGTGTTGGATCCTTAGCAGCAGGCATCAGGCCTTGGAAGCCGCTGTACAGTTAGCACCAAATTTCAGGAGCTCTTCTCAACCACGTAGCGTATCTCTTCCCAGCCCCTTTAGTAGATAGAATATGGGGTTTAGGGTTTAGGGTAAAGTCCCCCTTAAGTAGATAGAATATTGAATATGCGGTATATGGGGATCTTACTACGATGTACCCAAAGCCATATTCTATCTACTTGAGCGGGACCATGGCCTATAACCTTGGTCCCAAAGGCCCTTACAGGCGCATGGTACACTGAGCGAAATTAATGAGGCTGCTAGTCGTTTCGCTAGCTGTTGCTCAGCAGGGGAAGAGGGAATAGATCCATGGAAAACTCGGTATGCAATCCCCAACCAGGGCTCCCCATAACCTATCCCTTCATTCCTGACTAAGTACCAGGGAGGTAGAGCCTATGAGGACTCTGGAGCCCAAGGAAGGGTAGTTGATTGCGGCAGGCTATTTCACAAGGCTACGCTCGAACCAACAGCTGGAATGCTGTGTCCTCCTCCAAAATTCTCTTTCCTAGCCTGGGACCATACCAAGGCTTCCAAAGGCGACCGCGCCCACTTTGGCGAACTTTCCCAATTCGGTGGCTTTATTGGCGGGCTTTTCCGAAGCTGTTTTCGATCCGTTCCTTCAACCAGTCCGTGGACCGTAAGAACTATGTCCCCTGATCCCAAGACTACGATTTCCAGATCCTTATTCAAGGTTTAGGGCATTATAATAGGGTTATGTAGAGGTAAGAAAGGGTTTATAGCGGTTATATGGGGCTAATGGAGAAGAAACTGGAAACTGCTATAGGGTTTAGGGGTTTAGGGCTTAGGGTCTTATCCTAAACCTTGCATAATCCTACACCTCAAGCCCGCAAACCGGTCCAACGAGCATCCAAAAATCCCAAGCCTTGAGCGGACAAAAGCAACCTCAAGAGGGGACGATGTCATCGCCTGCGTATTCCTGGGATCCCAAGATGAGTAGTATTTTATGCTTTAGTGTTTAGGGTTTAGGGTTCCACGGTGCTGAAGGTTCCAAATGATAAGGGTACTAGGACTTCAGATCCCTGCGCCCTGAAACCGAAAACCTTTAAACACCGTGAAAAACCAACCACTTAAGCGGAGGTTGAGGGGGAATCGCATGCCGACCTAAATCCTAAACCCTAAGCCGTGCCCTAAACCCTCGTCAGCAGGATGGAAGAAAGTCCCATCAGAACGGTGATCCACCCTCAACCAGAAAAATAGAAAAACCCTGTATTTAAAAAACACTAGTAAAAGCTTGAACCCTGAAACCCAACCCCTAACCCTAGAACCTGAACCCTAAACCCTCCGAGTGCTGCTGCAGGGGGTCTCCGCCGTTCTCTGTCAAAGTCACTTCGGCGATCCAAATCTTTCTCGAAGCGACGGGCAGCTCGCCAGACAGCAGGGTTTGGGGTTTAGGGTTCAGGGTTAGGGCTTGGGGTTCAGGATTAAGTGTTGTCATCCCACCCCAATAACTAAAAATCACCCCCTAATATCAAATCTTCTCATGGCGGCATACTACAGGAATATTCAATAGCGGCCTGGGGTTTTTAATATCAGGGGATTAGGAACTCTGGGGTCAGGATCTTTGAGTTGAGCTATTACAGGGTTTAGGGTTTAGAGTCTTGATGTTAAGGGCGGATCCTCAAAGAAGGCATAACTCAGGGAATCTAGGGGCATTTGGACAGCGGATAGGATTTAGTTAGAAGGGGATTTCAGGCCAAGCAGATAAGGGAATGCTAGCATTGTTTGGGATTTAGGGGCTTCCCAAGCTCATCGGCCCCTTATAGACTATGCTAGAAAAGTCTGTCAAACCCTAAGCACGGAACCCCAAAACATAAACCACATCCCCAAAACATTGCGCCTAAACCCTAAACCCTAAACCATGCCCTATCACAAAAAAAGCTTTTGCTCTCCCCGAGGCTGTCCAGTCTTTGTGGAAGAGCCTTCGTTTGCGCCTAAAGTCCTCGTGTTTACAGGGGTTCAGGGGTTTAGGTTTTACTTATGGGTCCTAGTAGGGAAAAAGGATATATGATCCCTAAATATACTCCCTACATAATCCCTGTGTAATATGTTGCCTTGCTCCCTGCTAGGAACCAGTAAGTTAGCGTTTAGGGGGTGCCCCAAAACGTCACCGAGCTACAAGGGATCTGTAGACCTGGGCTCTTTTCGGACTTCTTTTCAACCAAGGCAAATCCCCCCAAGGCGCAAAAATGAGCAGCCCTAAAGAATAGATCCCCTCTGATGTGGGGGTTCCGAAAATCAGGGATGACATTTTGGGAGTCCCCATAAGAGGGACCATAGTATTTTGGGGTCTATTTTGATTCCTGGAGAGAATCATTGCAGCGAAGCTCTATGCATGTCGAGTAGAAAATCTTCCAGAAGCAGCTGCCGCTGGCGAGGACTGATCATCTGTGGGGTTTCTTCTTGAGAGGTAGGCCACGGAAATTCCCCAAAACTGCATTTTAGACCATCCTGTCTGGTGAAGTGGCAGTAATCCCGACACCCTCCTAATCCCTAAATCACTAATCCACACATCGCAAAAACCCATAACCGCTGCTCCCTAAACCCTACTTCCTAAGCCCTACCGGTACTGCATTCCTCTTAAGGATTTTAAAGTAAGCTGCTATAATAAGAAAGCCTTATATACTCATATTATGGTACTTTTTATTTAAGTTCCTTATTAAAAGCAACCCAGAAGTAGGGCATTGTGCCTGAGGCGAGCTCGGATCACATGCACCCGGATCTCACTGCCCGGCGACCTGGGGATCTGTGGGGTCATCGTTGAAAACAGGATTTAAGAAGGAATCCAGAGGTTCGCAATGTTGAAGAGTACAGTCCCCCCGAAGTAGATAGAATAT